ATTATTCTCCAATTAATGATTATTTAAGTGGATAAAACAAAGAAAAATAGAAAGACTAATTGAAAAATATCTTTTATATTTTTCACATCTTCTACATGTGTAATAAAAGTGTTACAAAAATTTTGGGCAATTTTGGAAACTGTTTTCTATTTATTTCAATTTTTATTAGAATAAATGCTCAAAAATCATAAAATTGGGTTAAATAGTTTGGAAATCCATTTTTATATTTTTCCCAGCTTAAGTATGTCTAATGGAAGTATTATAAAAAGTTTGAGATATTTTATGATCTGGATTCTATTTTTCACAAATTTTATATTGTTATGAAGGCTTAAAATTTTGGAAAAATAGTTAATCATATAAAAAATTCAAAGGAAAATTTATGGAATCCCTCTACTGTGTTTAGAATCAAAAAGCAAAGTTTGAGAATTTTTGGAAATTGTTTGATAATATTTTGGCTTTTTAAGAGCTTAAAACACATTTAAATGTGTTGAAATACCCTCAATTGTTATTACAAAAATCTGGAAAATTAATATCCAAAATTGTCTTAATCACATGAATTAAAAAAAAACTTCACCATTTCAGAAAAATGTTTGTAACTTATCAATATTAAATTTTGACACAATATTGGCATAATTCTATTGTAGTAGCAAGTATACTAGTGTTAGCTTTCTATTAGAGACTCATTAGTGTGTAACATCGTGTAGGAATCGATAGTGGTACGAGTGGAGCGTAGATCAAGGCATCATTTGCATCATCTCAATGCATAGTGAGTATTCACGCACTCCCCTATTTTCAGTTTTTATGTTTTGGGGTGGAAAAGCATGTCCCGAAAAACTATTATTTGTTCGTTGTACTTAAATTGATTTGTATCAAACATGATTGCTATTTTATTGCTATATCTCTCTATGTATGTCTATGCAACACGGAACATGAGAACTTAGCGTCTTAAGGCCCTTCCCTTACACTTTTCTCTAAGCATTAACTCTTTGAGCCAATGGTCATTGTGGATAACGCTATTAGGAATTGACAACTCCTCACTCGCCCGATTGCTAGAGTGCATAATACCATATAATCTATGGAACGATAAGCATAGATCTTGATAGGGCTTCAGTCATAGGCTTGGTTGAGAACTCATTGTTTGCTCATACACATACAAACTCGTTACTTATTATAGCAATAAACTTTGTATCTCATTATAACAACGAACTTTTGTTACTAAATACTTATTTACTTGTTTTAGCAACAAACTTGGTTGCTTCTTATATAACAAACTTGTTTGCTCCTTGTAGCAATGAAACTTAATTACTCATTTTAGTAACAAACTTTATTTCCCATGAGGATATGAACGTTGCATCTCTTTTGGGCAACATACTTTATTTCTCATGATGACAACGAACTTTGTTTACACAAACTTATTTACTCATTTTAGCAATATATTTTTATCTATGGAAACTTATATCAAAATTTTGATTTCGATTCATGAAACCAATATTATTTTTAAACTTGTGAGTACTCACCAACTATTTTTATAGTTGACGCTCGTTTTACATGCGTTTTCAGGAATCATCGAGTATGTGGCACTTAGGTACACATCACTTATAGGAGCATTCGCATGTGTTGTATTTCAATTTACATTGTAATTTCTTTTAAAAGTTGTTCAAACCCATTGTAAATTTGTAATGATTTTTAATACTATGGTTGGTGTTGTCTTTTAACTTTTGCTATGAAACCCTTTATACTGCCACGCCTCGTGTTTCCGCTTTAGCGGGGTGTGACAGTGCTTACAGTGCTGCAATGAACTTCCTCAAAGACTATGTTGTTGAGTTCTGTCGATGTGATCTCGAACTTGCACAACTGTTAGGAAGTGAAAAGCTTTTGGCTAAGTTCGACTACAAATTTCCTGAAGCAGAAGGACCTATTGAAGAACCAGTGCTTGGATATGTTTACTTGCATAAGAAGACCAAAAAAAAGGATTTCTTTCGAGTCATTGACAAGCACCTCATTCCTACCAAGATCCTCCAAAAGTTCATCTCCAATGCAGCCAAGTCAGATGCTCCCGAGCCCGTAAAGAACAAATTCAACAACCATTTCCAATGGTACTTAGAAGTCCGAAATTGGCTCTATAGAGCTTATCTGTTCATTAATGAAGAAGCTAACTAAGCTGACATGATTTCTAAGTTCACTTAGTTGGAGATTGTTAAATCATGAAAAGTGAACCTCTACCAATCACAATCAATCAAGTTTCGGTGTCAGCTCAGTCCGAGATAAGATGGAGTTCCGAGATGAAGATTAATCCGAGATCAAGGCATTTCCGAGATTAGAAGTTTGTTCACACTTTTAGTACATTTTGTCTTGTTATTGATGTAATAGTTCATAGGACTTACTTTTATGTATCTTTTAGATATCAGTTTCTCAAACACTGATTATTATCCAGTCCTAGGTGTGTTCCTCGGTTTATACTATATTCTTCCTCCACTATATAAGGAGTGAATGTTTTGCCAATTTTATGTGTGTGGACAATTCAAAGTTATAATCCAAGATAGCAACTATTCTCTTCACATCAGTTTCACTTTTCCTTCAAGTCAAAGTTCTTTCATAACATTCATCTTGTTCCTTAAGTATCTTTGTATTGATTATACTCTAAGTTTTCCTAATTTATTACTTGAATACTTAGTTAAATATCTCCTTCATGTCTTAACTGGTATTACCAGATTTGACTGGAACCTTACATTAAGAGCAAACGTTAATCTTAAAGATTAACTCAAGGTTTGAGTTTTCAAACCTTTTCCTTGCACATTGATTCGAACCTAACTCCTAGTAACAATCATTGACGGAAAATTCTCCATTGTTACATTCTCCCCTTATTTTAGGAATTTTGTTCTTGAAATTCGAGTCTTATCTAAATTTAAGCGTGGAGACCAATTTCTTAAAAAGAAAGTCGATTCCACTGACTTAACTAAATTTTCTTTTTAGTTTGCTACCTCTAATTCTTTAACTTCATCCTTAGCAATCTAATTTTCCGCCGAGCCTATTTTACACCTATTGGAAACCTAAGATTTCTATCAAATTTTGGTTAAGGATTTATATAGGGATTTCCATGTTTTAATTATTTATTTTAAATCTACTATTAAAATGAACTCTTTATTAAAACATTTAAACTTCAAAGATTCCTATTATCGTCGAAAAAATCTTATAATTTTTTTTTTCGTGTTTCCTTTCCCTTACATTCCTTTTATTATTTTCTAATATTCCTTTACTGGATTAGTTGGCTTTTGCAGGCATCTGCAATATTTCCTGCTTTTCCGCACTCCTTGCACTTGAAATCTTCACAGCTACCGAGACGGTGCAGTCCACACTTACTACACAAGGGAAACTACCTAAGTACCCCTTTTGTGGAACAACTGTTGGAGGCTTCCTTTCCTCCTTTCTTTTGTAAAAGGGCCGACATGGTCCTTCCTTGTTGATTTTTCCCCATTTTCTTCCAAATTCTCTAGCCTTAATCATGCCATCTAGGACTTTGGTATCCCTAAAGTGGAACACTTGCTGCTTAGTTTCCTCGAAGATGTGGGGTTGTATGCTTGTATCTGTTTCCTGTCTTGAGGTGATAGTTCTTGGAGATATGAACTGATTTTCTTGCTCTCCGAACCAGTCAGTTCTAATCATACCGTGGATAGGTCTTCAAATCTTACGGTGTAGAAAGCTAGACTGGACTTCCTAGTGCTCAATTGACTAAATTCATGTTCTACTCACACCAAATCTTCCGTAGAACAAAATTCTCTTATCTTTTTAATTTTTCAACTCTCCCCCAGAGATTGCATAGGTTGCATCATATCATGCTGTCGATGCTTTCCTAGCAACTTCCTGTTGTTTCCCTAACAACTTACTGATCATATCATACTGTTGTTGCTTTCCTAGTAACTTACCGTTGCTTTCCTAGAAACTTGTTGATCCTCCCAAGGAAGTTGCTTCTTCGTTGTCATAAATTTTGGCTCCTAAAGGATTTTTTTATTTTAGGGCATCCATAGGGTGTCATTTTTCAGAAAGGAAAAATCTTGGTTGTGCGTGTTGGCAAATGATCCGCGCATTGCACACAGATAGCAGATCAGCAATAAAGTCGATTTTTCGCTTCATTCGAACATTCCTTCTGCTTTGTCGCTATCAGGGCCCACACGCATGACGGACACTTGGCGCTCCTGCTCCCATTCATCGATTTCTTTACTTCATTTGATCACTCTACTACTAGGTGATCTCTATGCTAAATCCTAACCTAAATTGTGGGCTAAATTTCGAGTCTTTAGGGTTTTTAGAGGATTTTATCAATTTGCGAATTTTGGTTGTATTTTGTTAAATTGATGAGTAATATAGCATTTTATACCACCGATTCTATTTCCTATATACTCAATTTTGGGTTTAATTCATCTATTAATTCTTGTTTTGAGTTTTTAAAATTTTGAATATTTTGAACTAAAATCGGATTTTTAATGTTGTTTTGGATGATATGAGAAGCCTATATGTTTTCTACGGGGACTAACCGAATATCCCTAATTGATTTTTAGGTTAAAAATTGGACAAAATAGCAACATTCCATGCATACTATTCTTCGTGTACTTAGGGCGCGTCGCATAGATGCATTGCGCGACGTGTACTCGCATGCAGCGTGTATCTGGCGCGTTTCCCATATCTTAATCCCCTTTTCATTTTAAGTTATCCTATTCTAATTCCAACTATTTCCTTGTGTTATTATACTACAGATCTTAGTTTTAAAAAGCGGCGTTTTGGACTGCTTAAAGCGCTAAGCACTCATATGTAAATCAAAATCGCTTTTGAATTAGTAAGGCACTCAGATTCCTTAACTCACCGCTTAAGTCGGCACTTTTTCCGTTTTTTCCGATTAGGTAAAGCCGCACTTAATCGCGGTTTTGGTATACTGGGCTTATTTAATTTGCTGGGCCAGGTTTAGTGTATTTTTTATTAGATACGTAGGTTGTAGGGTTATTAAAATGACAATTCATACGTCACAAAACAAAGACAACATCAGTAGGTGGGAAAACGTTTCTTCTTCTCCATATTCATCTTCAGCCTCCTGCCCTCCACTCTCCTCTAAACACAACGGTTGGAATCAAGTGAATCAACATTCAAGATCAAAACAAGGTACATGTTCGATTTTTTATGTTGTTAATAACTATTCTACTCTAATTCTGAATAGTGAATACAACAATTTTAATGATCTTTCAAGTTTCATCTACTTACTTCTTCTTTCTTCTTCTGATATTAATCAGTTACTCATAACTGACATCTGTTATGTTATGTTTTTATTGTTGTATCATATTGGATGATCTTAATGTTACTGGTTAGTCACGTAGTTAGTTCATAGTTGTTAAATCATTAAATGTCATCACATGATGTCTTGATCTGATTAGTTAAATCATTAAATGTTCCTTTGAACTTAGCTGTTATGTTGCTTACTTGCTTGCATGTTAGCATGTGTAGACTATAGAAAGAAGAAACATATAATACTAATATATAATGATATATAATGTTATTTTACAGAAGGGGTTCTACAAAGAGTGGATCAGATGACCCGGTTAAGAGATACGGGGTACAAGATCCAACTAATAAAAACAACTTTACATGAAATTTCTGTGGACAAGTGGTGAAGGGAGGTGTATTTTGCCTCAAACATCATATGGTTGGTGGTTATATGGACGTAAAGAAGTGTCCAAATTATCCGGGACATGTACAAGAAGAAGTAAAAGCATATTTGGAAGAGAAACAAAATTTAAAAGCTCAACAACAAATGGAACAAGCATGATTCCAGATGTATGAACCTGATGAATATGATGATGTTGATGAGAAAGATGTTGTTGAAATAGGCAGTAGTAGGAAAAAGCCCCCTCCAAAAAAAACCAAGGCAAAAAGGCCCTATGGACACATACTACACCCCTAATCCGCATGAAGTCGTCATAAGTAGGAAAGGAGGGAGACACCAAACAATCAATGAAGTATGTCGAAAGGATCGCAGGGATAAAGTTTGTCGTGAGATTGCGAGATGGTTTTACGATGCAGGTATAATTTATTGTTGATGCCTTGTTGACTTTATTTTATAACAATTTACATTTACTAACTGACATATACTTTATTGCTTCAACCTATCCTTACAATGTTGCGACATATGATAGCTTCAAAGTCATGGTTGAAGATATTGGACAGTTTGGCCCCGGGATGAAACCACCGAGCATGTATGAGTGACGAGTCCCTCCGCTTAGGAATGAAGTACAGGATGTGAAAATACAGATTCTTGAGCATGAACAAGAATGGGCAAAAAAAGCTTGTTCAATATTATCTAATGGATGGCGTGATTTAGTGGTGCAAAAGGATATCATAAACTTCATGGTAAACTCTCCGAAGGGTTCGGTGTTTGTGAAATCAGTCGACGTTTGGGATGTATCCAAGGATGCATATTTTTTATTTCATGTTCTGGATAAGATGGTGGAGGAAGTTGGAGTAAAAATGTTGTACAAGTTGTAACTGATAATGCTTCAGTATATGTAAAGGCAGGTAACAGTTGTAACTTGTATATGCATGTTATGATGTTAATATTATGTTGTGTTTGTTAATGTCTTATAATTTCTAAATTCTAATTTTCTATCTATAAACTTTGTGGGGAAGTTGTTGGAAGCTAAAAGAGAGCATCTTTATTGGACACCATGTGCTGCTGATTGCTTGGATTTGATGCTGCAGGACATTGGAAAAAAGTTTCCTAAGGTCAAAATTGCAATAAAGAACGCTATGTTAGCAATTGCCTATATATATAGTCATGTTCCTGTTGTGAACTTGATTAGAAAGTTCACCAAAGAAAGAAACGTGCGTAGGCCATCCGTAACTAGATTTTCCACATCTTTTATCACACTCTCCCAAGTCCACAGACAAAGACACAACCTAAAGAATATGGTGATTTCTGCAGAGTGGGAAAAGGCAAAGTGGTCCAGCAAAGATCAGATTGCAAAAAAAGTAAAAACCTAGTTTATGCAAGATTCATTTTGGAGGAATGTTTTCTATGCTCTCAAGTTAACCAGCCCCTTAGTCAAAGTTCTTAGGTTAGTTGATGGAGAAAAGTATCCAGCAATGGGCTATATTTATGAGGCTATGGATAGGGCTAAAGAAGCTATTCGTGATAGTTTTTCCAATGCGGATGACTACAAGACAACTTTTCAAATCATTGATCAAAGGTGGGAATGTCAACTGCATAAACCTCTACATGCAGCAGGACATTTTTTGAACCTGGGGATATTTTATAAGGATACTGTTGGGGTGGCTTGTGAAGAAATGGAACAAGGGTTATATAGTTGCATTTTAAGACTTGTTCTAGACCAGGAAGTTTAAGACAAGATTTCTGCAGAGTTAGATAAATACCAGAATGCAGAAGGACTATTCGGTCATCCTATGACTATTAGGCATAGGAAAACAAAAGCACCAGGTAACAAAATGATATTATAAGTTCTTACCTAAATTTTTTTCTGGTAATTTCTATTCTAATTTTCTTAGTTTGTTTTTAACTTTTCATTATTAGCTGATTGGTGGGCATCATATGGATCTTCGACGCCTAATCTTAAAAAGTTTGCCATACGGGTCCTTAATCTAACTTGTAGTGCTACAAGTTGTGAAAGAAACTGGAGTGTTTTTCAACACATAAGTTCTTTTGTATCTATTTAAAAAAAATAGTTTTCCTAATTCCTAAATGATAATATGTTTTTTTTTTCATATTTTAGTTATTTCATGATTTTTCGTACTTTAATTACTTTCATTATTGTAGCTTCATACGAAGAAACGAAATAGATTGGCACAGTCTAGATTAAATGAAATGGTGTTTGTCAAATTCAATCGTTCCTTAGACCATCGAGTTAAAGATAAGGAAAAGGATCCTATTCTTTTACAAGAGATTGATGAAAGTAACGAGTGGTTGATGGGAAGACCTGAAGAGGAGAATGATGATGATATAGTATTTGTTGGTGAAGATCTTACTTGGAGAGATGTGGCTCACGTATGAGGTGCTTATGAGCCTAGTTATCTAACTAGATCGAGAGTGCAAAATGATGGAGCTGGGCCATCGGGTATTGATAAGGGAAAAGCTCCAGAATCTAGTCAACGATCTGGATTTTGTTTGGTGGATGAAGAGGTGGAAGAGGATATCGGAAGTGATTGTGGAGGAGATGATGTTATCCAAGTTGACGATGATGATGACCGTTTCGTGTCTTTTTAGGTTTTATGATTCAGGATTAGGAATTTAGAACTTAAGTTATGCCTTTTTTTTTATCACCATGTCTGATGCTACTTTTAACTTTTGAAATTGACTTTTAACTTTTGAAATTGATACCTTATGCAATATGCAGGATATGGTTTTTATTAAGTATTTATATATAATTTCTATATTTTAAATTTTTTTTAATAACGGGCACTTCGTGTGCTCTAAGCGGGCGCTTTCGCTTAGCGCTTAGCGCTTTTACTCCCAAAGCCCAAAGCGCTTTGAGGCACTTTACGCTATTTAAAACCAAGCTACAGATATGTCGAGACGAGTTCGACAGGTTGCGTGTCAGTTACCTCCTAACTTGCCAACTCATCATTTCTTACAGTTCTCCGATGACCTTCGTAATCGGGGTAATTTTATATCTCGCCTTATTGCCCTTTTGTCCAAGAAGGTCAGCATTACAAAAGCTCTTTATAAGAGTATGGAAGATAACACTGGCTTGTCTACTCAGCTTGCACCATTCCTCACCCGATCACTTCGGGATGATAGCGGTCTCAAGTTTTTTATTTCTGCCACGCGTGGCGACGGGTTATCGGGATTCGGGAGGTGATCTGCTAGGAGCTCTGTTGGGAGTTATTTTCGACAGTCAGCTTTGAAAAGGAGTCGAGGCTCTGGGCTGATAGATCAGTGTTTTCTTTTTGCCTGGGAGTCATGTCCCGCTCCTGCAGCCTCATCGAGTTGGGGAGCATCTAGGGATTTACACTGCTGAGGAGACTCTGAGTGCTCATTTTTATGCATCTTTCGATAGTTGCGTTACTACTCCTCCGCAGGAGTATGAATTTATGCAGGTTTAGACTCATGCTCGGGGGACCTATGTCTCCCGGGTGGCCAAGGACAGCACCTTCTGTTCTCCTATCTATCAGTTTCTTCACCGACTGGTCGCATCCACCATTTGTCACAGACTGGAGTGTGACAAGGTTCCTTCTAGCGAGCTTTTCTATATGTGGTGCTTCACTCAGATGGAGGTTCATCTTCATATCCTTTTCGACCTTTCTCTTTTCCTATCTGGTATGGCTCTAGGTACCACATCCTCGACCAGGATTTGCAGGGGTCACTGGGTTACTAGGTTAGCCCTATCCTATGGGGTTGACACCAGTGTCCGGGATCTAAGTACTACCGCTCTCGGAAAGATGCGGGTTTTGACTAGGGAGGCGGGGTAGCCTTGGTGGATACCGGAGGATGACACCACCGAGCCGATTCGGAAAGTGGGGTCGGAGGTCGTTCATGAGCCTGCCTTTGTGAGGCTTTAGAGACCTAGACACGTCGAGCCTGATTTTCCGAAGCCTTCTCTTGATGACGTGATGCGGGTTCTTGCAACTGCACAAGAAGAGGGTCATTGGATTATGGCTTCGCTTGTCACGATGATGTGTCATCTGTGAATGGACCATCCACCATTTCCTAGTGTCGATCCCATTGTACCACCTCCTTCTCAGCCATGCAGAATTGGTTATGACAGTGCCGGTCCTTCAGGAACGCATCCTGGAGACACCGATGACGATGAAGATGATGAAAATGATGATGAAGATGACGATGATGATGATGATTATGATGATGATGATGATGATGACGAAGAGGATGAGGAGACCAAGACGGAGTCTGAGGGCGGTAAGGAGTAGATTTGTGAGTTTTATATTGTATTTTGATACTTTATGACATATTCTGACATATTTTATTTGGTTTGTGATCTATATATTTATGATTATTATGTTTCATTTGTCTATCCTAATTCAGATGTTGTATTGGTTCACTCAAGACTAAATATAGTTGATCAGGCTATGCTTAGGAGCGACTCAACTTTTACACATTGAATTTCCTGGATATTTATCTTATGTGTCGCATTTCTGTATATGTTTATTTGTGAGTTATGGTTCATTACTTGTTTTATACATCTAGACTATGTATGGATCGCCCAGGTTAGAAAAGTCAGCAGGACCATTTCAACATATAGTTCTTCTGAAATCCAGCAACACAATGCGACAGTTCCAACCTAGTCACCTATCCAATACATAATCTATAAGTTGGAAATTTTATGGTATACAATTTTTAGTTATAGGTTTGAGAAAAAACCAATCAGAGTATTTGACCTAAGATATAGACGTAATTCCTAAAGAAACACTAAGTCGTTGTTCTTAAGGAAATACCAATATGCTATAGCTAAACCTATGCTCCGATACCATCTCTATCACACCCCCTGACCGACCTTTGGCGGAAACACCAAGTAGTGTGACGGTATAAAGAGCGTCAATTCTATTAACCTGAGAATACATGCATTTTGAAAGTCAACACAATGTTGGTTAGTGCACGAGTTTTTTATGTTTTTGGAATTTTTGGATTCCTTTTAGGAATGTTTTTCTTTAGTGAAAACCTTTCTTAATTATTTATCTAGTCTTTTATCTTTTAAGATATCTTTTATTGATCTTAAATGACTATCTTTTTAGGATATCTAACAATCCTAATGTATTTAAATTAGGATTGTCTTTTTTTTAATCCTAATTTACTATCTTTCAAGCATTTCTAACGATCCTAATGTATTTTAATTACCATTCCAGTCGTCTCTAATGGTAATCTAAGCATTAAGGCAACTTTTAATATATTAATGTGAGCCCCTATAGTCGACACTTCGAACGTAAATGTACCCCTAATCATGACGTTTCATTGGACGTCGCATAGTAACTTATATGGAAGATATCGTGCCGTGATTGTAGCTAGCAATCGCAGGTGGGGTTATCATGGCCCCGTATAGATCTATACATAACTTCCTACCTCTCTCAAGATTAACGATTATAGGTAAAGAGGATATGACAAATTTAATCAAGGCTTTTGGATGAATAACCAACTCATTAACCATAGGCTTTTATGTTTTATCTTTTGACCTTTTATTTTTATCATAATTACCCCTATCAGTATAGATATATATATATAGATAATATATATATAGATATAGATATATATAGATATATATATAGATATATATATATATATATATATATATATTAATAAATTTATATATACATCACATTATCTTTGTATATACCTCTTCGGGTATATATCATCAAATAATCTCTATATGTATATATATATATATATATATATATATATATATATATATATATATATATATATATACATCACACTATCTTTGTATATACCTCTTTCGGGTATATATCATGAAATAATCTCTGTATATATATATATATATATATATATATATATATATATATATATATATATATATATATATATATATATATATATATATATATATATATATATATATATATATATATCTGTGTGTGTGTGTGTGTATATATATATATATATATAACATATATACCCTAATTATGGTTATTTTAACAGCATATTTGGGCAGTGTAACAACTAAGTACAGTGCATATCCAAAATGTTGTGTAGCATAACTCCTAGGTAATTAAAGTTTCCTAAAGATTTTTCCATTATAGCATCTAGGTAATACCTACTCCTAGATTATCGGGCATTTTGCTTATGACTTTATATTTATAAAGTAAATATTTTGATAAAATCATTTCTTAACCGTAATGAATAACTCCAATACAATAATATTTAAGCACATAGAGACTATACTTCCGACTCTACTGAGTAACTCTAGTCGATAACATTAAGCACATAGAGACTATACTTTCGACTCTTCTCCACTTTCTATTATATCCTAACATACATGGACATATATTGTAATATATAGTATAGTGAGGTAACTGACCTGGAGAATCACTCTGACGACAATCAGCTAAATAACTGGCGAACAACACGCCTATCAAGTATTAACCTATATTATTGTAACTTATTAATCTTATGGAAATCTGGTAATGAAAGCTATATCATTCGTTAATCCCATTGAATACTTCAAGTTCTATCAAATAAGGAACAACCAGGTAATATCATACCGGAGGTAGGATCCGTTTGGTATGTAAAGTATACCGTGTGGAAAATCCACTTTAAACACCTCACTGAATCTAGCTTAGGCATCATTTATCTAAGTAGATCAATCACTATAATGACTAGAATCACTTATAAATCTTATTATGGATTCATAACAATGAATATGAATATAAATATAAGTTACACTTAAAGTGTAGTAAGTGCAGCTTAACTTACATAAACCAGTAAAAAGCAAGAAAGTCGCAAGGAGAACTTCGACTCTAAACACTTTTTTCTGATGGTCCGCAGCTCCCAGCTACAACGCTCAAGACTCAGAAGTCGGATTTTCAAAGAGATAAAGAGAAAGATAGAGAGAGAGAGAGAGAGATATCGATTAGGTGTGCGGAAGAATATGGTATGGAGCTTCTATTTATAGGCATATTTTAAAGGCGCACCACGCATGGGGTTTAGAGCACGCCCCGCTTGGTGACATATCTCCTGTCAGATCTTGCCACGTGTCGTGATTTCTATGGTCCATGTCTCCGAGTCTCTCAAAGTCGGCGGCTACCCGACAAGGCCACATGTCGCCTCTAGGTGGTGCCACATCATCATTCTCGTAGGTATTTCCACAATATTCTAAAAGCCATAACTTTCGCATAAGAGCTCCATTTTCTACGTTCTTTATATCAACACATAGGTAAATTTGTATACAAAAACTTTCTTTTAGATCTCAATAGCTAATTCTCAGTCTATTTTAAATTCATATTTATAGAGCTTACATTGTTAAAATCCATACAAAAATCATAAATCCTTCATACAAACTTCGTTCTCTACTGTCTCTATATCGATGGGTTTAAATTTACAACATCTTCAAATCTCGTTTACATTGTTTTCGCTAACAATCAAACGATCTAAATTTTCATGTCTTTGTCGTGCACTGTTGTGCTATGTCGCATCAAAACTTCAAAAAACCAAAACTTCTTCATACAAAGTCAGATTTGGACGTTCTTTGTATGCATACCTTTTCTTGTTATGTTTACTATGACTTTCATGGTGATAAC